CTTCCTGAGATGACTGCCAAATATCCATAGAAATACAAGCCCTAGGCTTTCATATAGGATCTAAAGGTGCTGTCAAACTCTGCCAATTACCTACTTTTCTAATTGTTTTCTTGTTCGCGCGATCAATTCACGCACGGAGAAACTCTCGCAATTACTCATTAATGTATTTTTGTTTGATTTTTAAATCAGCTTGCCACATAGGTACTTTCAGCTTCAAACTGACAAGTTCAACTGACCTTTGACATTTTGAATAAGTTGAAATCGAAGTGCAAGCAGAAATGCGACAATTTTTCAATAAACAGCTTTCTCGAAGAGCGTAATTTCCGTCGCTTGCCATGGCAGTATTTTCACAGATTGGAACCGTCTGTGCCAGGTGCTTGATCACATGTATTAGGTCGTTCAATAAGTAACGAACAATCGGTCATAACTTCTTTATTTCTTTATTTAACACTTTCAAACTTTCACAGATTATAGATCAGACATTTCTGAATGCAGCCTATGCCTCAAACCAGCCGCCGCCCGCCTGCACACACTTCTCCCAGCGTTCCGGCCAACGCCGGAATTCCGCCCGGAAAAACGCGTTTTCCGTCTTTTTCACCCAGTTCATGACAGCGCACATGACTTCAGCGTCGGTCTCGAAGTGTTCACCATGGAGGCCATCCTTTAGGGGACCAAAGAGGTGAAAACTGAAGGAGCCAGGTTCGGACTGTAGGGCGGCTGGGGCATGATATTCAGCCCTGTCACGCGATCTCCTCGCGCGTGGCGTGAGACAAGTGCGGTCGGGCGTTGTTATGGTGTATGGTGATGTTGTTGACATCCGAGCCGCGCCTCTTCTTCAGGATTGCTTTTCTCAGTCTCCTGCAGGACTGTGATGTAGCGGCCCGCTGTCCATAGTCCGCCCAGGTTCAAGAAAGCCCACCAGGATGACACCATGACAACGCTCGTCCGCACATGTCTCACGCCACACGCGAGGAGATCGCGAGACAGGGCTGAATATCATGCCCCAGCCGCCCTTCAGTCCGAACCTGGCTCCTTCAGATTTTCACCTCTTTGGTCCCCTGAAGGATGGCCTCCATGGTGAACACTTCGAGACCGACGCTGAAGTCAGGTGCGCTGTCAAGAACTGGGTGAAAAAGACGGAAAACGCGTTTTTCCGGGCGGAATTCCGGCGTTGGCCGGAACGCTGGGAGAAGTGTGTGCAGGCGGGCGGCGGCTGGTTTGAGGCATAGGCTGCATTCAGAAATGTCTGATCTATAATCTGTGAAAGTTTGAAAGTGTTAAATAAAGAAATAAAGAAGTTATGACCGATTGTTCGTTACTTATTGAACGACCTAATATCATGAAAGTTTTTGTGTACGGTAGGTGGTGCTAATTGTTGTTTACATGAAAGTTGAGAAAAATGTTGAAACCTTAAGCCCCGGTCCCACTAGGCGATGCGACCACTTACGACCGCCCACGATCGGTGGTCGGCAAAAGGTTGTCGCAATTCTTCAAGAGCTCGTACGATTGGATGTTGATATGAACGACTTGTCTTCAGACGTCGCGAGGTCATTTTGGTCGCCAAGAGGTTTTTGATGATGCACTAAAAACCTCCTGGCGACCGATTTGGTCGCAAAGAGTTCGCGAGAAACCGCAACAAGTATTTCATTGTTCGCTAGTAGGAGGGCGAGTATCGCACGACAGGTTGCGGTGGTCACGGGCAGTCGGGAGCGGTCGGCGGTCGTATACAAGTCGCCGATAACCGCACGGCGTTCTTCCCAACATCAGCAACCAGTCGCGAGACCACCAAGGTTCGATCGCCGAGCAATCGCACGATGGTGGCCGATTGCACGGCACTAGTCGGCAATTAGTCGACGACAGTGGTACGGACATCTCAGATCTCATACCGACCCTTATCACACGGCCGCGAACATAGTGCTCTCCCTTTGAGATCAGCCGTAGACGATGAAGGGGATACGTAAAAAAATCGTACATTTCTAGTAGATTTTCAAATAAAAACAGCGCAAGAAGAAATAAGAAATGATGCACCGCCTACTATATAGTGCCTCTCAGGAGTCGGAGGTGGGATCCGACCCAAAAAGCCCGACCATTCCAGGCAGCCCAGCTCCAGAACATGAGGGACACGACACGGAACGTGACCAAGAAAAAGAAAATTGCTGAACAGTTGACTCTGGAAAAGAACGAGATCTTAACCATCGCCGGACATATTGGTTTTCTTCTACGCGCCGGCCGAGAGGGGGGCGGATACGACCCCCCTCCCCGTTTCGCCTCTGATGGGGCTAGCGCGTCGCAGGAAAAACAAGCGCGTGCGCCGTTACGAGACACAGTTATTGACACCCGATTTTAAGGTCTCAGGTCAACCGGTGACCTCTTACGTCAGGTCAAGTGCCATAAGTTATGGGTTCAGTTTTTGATGAATAACTTGGCTAAAAGAGGCCGCAAAGCCGCGATTTTGACATCATCGTGTTTGCCTTGTTGAGACTTGTCGAATGATATACTTTTTGTTGGGATTGAACTCAGGTCACGGTCAGGCCAGGGCTTACAGGCCACGAAGTTTGTCGAATTAGGTCATGTCGCATATCTTTTAATTTGGCAGGTCTTCTTAAAGGTAGTGTGCCACCTTCCAATGATTTCCCATTTTATTTTTCCTAGGATAAGAAGCTTCTGTTTTAACCTAATATCGCAAAAAAATCAAAAATGGGCCTGGAATAGTGCCGTTTTTGCCTAAAAGTTTATCGGTTTTTCGATGTGTATAACAACTGTAGTGGGCTGACCTGCAAACAGGCGTCGGCAACAATCGCGAATGCGGCGCACATGTGACAATAAGCAAAGGTCATTATAGAGTTACGACGTACGGGAATGAGTTATCAGCTGTCTAATCGTAGACAACACAATGTCGAACTTAAACTGTAAGCCTGTATTGGTATTGTTTCTTTAATTTTGCTATCGAACATTAATTTATGGTTTGAAATATGATTTTATGCGAAATAATTGATATGAAACAGCCGTCTCTTAAGTTATGACCCCATTTCACCACACGCAAGTGGCAGAAAGGACAATGATCAGCTGACGCATTTTTCTTGGCCGAAGTCAGAGCGCGCGGCCCGACGCACCACGCGTATTTGGAAATTCCGACCTCGACGAGCATCAGAAGCCAACTAACAGGCGTGTTCGAAACCGCAGGAGATGATGATGAACGGGTTTATCGAATCTTGATTGGATGAGCCTATCGGTAATAGCGATTTTAGTGTGTGCATTTATTGTTCATAGTGGTGTGAAATGTGGTTGGGGTACGACCGACAACCCGTCGGGGCAAATTTCGCACTGGGGTACTCAAAATTTGAAGAATTTAAGACGTTTCCATGAGTTTTGAAGGTATGGATAAGTTCTAAAAATCCGGTTCTCCTTATCCGGGTCATTAACTCCATATGGTCCAAGAAAGCTGGCACACTACCTTTAAGTCCATTGGTGGCTCTCCCGACTCGCTAGTTCAATTGGATCGGGAGTTATTGACGAAAAACTAATATGACCCTAGTGACGTCATTAATGACGTCACGCAAGGTCAACAATGCAAAAGTGACGCATCAAACTTGCAAGGAGTGCATGAAATCACGATTCGATATGCTTGGGGTTGGGATAGCTTAAGATCTTTCCCGGCGTCAAAATAGCAGTTTTTATTTTCCCACATTGACTTGAAATGGTGAGGTCACGTAACCGACCTTTCGTCATGTGACCTTTAGGAAAAATCTGAGATATACGAGTTGTGAGACCTCTACTGCGTCCTGTAAGCTTAATCTCCTTGTGAAAGCTCCTCTGGCACTGAGAGCGTTGCGAAGTTGCGACCTCTGAAGACCACGCAGAGGTTCACTTCTGACGCAATAGGTCAATGACCTGACCTGACCCGAAAATGCGGCTGGTGCCAAAATATAACCTGCCGATTTTCACAATTCGAATGGCATTCGATTCCCTCAACGTGATCTACATTTTGAAGAAAGAAAGTCCCAAAAACGCAAATAGGGGGCGGTAGGGAGGCGGATAGAAACTGCACATTTCAGATGCTTTTTCAACTTCTCAGTTCTCACCACGGCCATGTTTTTTAACCAATTTTGACGCAACTACTGCCGATCGATGCAGGATGAATCAGAATTTGACATGTATTACAAAAATAAGCATTTCGAAAATTCATGCCCTGGAACCGCCCCTGATAAAGATATCAACTTAAAATTTCCAGGAAAAGTGCCCAGCTTAGTTTTAAGAAAAGTCAGAAAATTTCGGCATCCTAGCTCCAGCTGCTTCGAAGATATTCCCGAAAAGCCCCAGGATGGATGTAAACAACTTGCCACTAATATGGTTAGCGGAACATCCGCTCTTTACCAATCGAGCGGCAATCGGCAATAGGTCTTGAACAGATCTTCAATCGTCGGCGGCCAGTCGTTACCTATCGCATGACGTACTCACGGCTGTCATCGAGTTTCGCACGTCATTCGTGCGACTCATGCACCAATTTTTTCTTGGTTCGGCAAACTTCGTACGATGGTCTGCCACCGCTTGTGCGATTAGTCGTACGATGATTGCCGACCCTTTATATATGTGACCGTATTTACGATGGATCTGCAGCATTCGGTGATGGTCGGCGGTGGTCGGCAATGATTTGGGTCGTAGGCGGTCGTAAGTGGTCGCAACGCCTAGTGGGACCGGGGCTTTAATCACGAATATCCACAAAGAATGTTTCGCCGACTGTCTCGCGCACGGATCAAAGAACGTTCAGTTGTTACCTTTGGATTGAAAATCGGCAACGCAAAAATTACAGTCCCTGTAAACCGGCGTAGTCGTGAAAAGTAAGACAGGTTATTCTCACCGGTGGAAATGGTCTTTTGGATGGAGTCTCTACTCACCTGCAGAGATGGTGGGCTGGATTGAGTCTCCACTCACCGGTGGACAATAAGCTAGACCGTCTCTACTCAGTACTCACCGGTAGAGAGTAGACCGCATTCACTAACCTGTGGAGATTGTGGGCTGAACGGAGACGATTGGCGCCCAGTTGTCCGAGTTAACTGAGTCGGCCACCTTCACCAGGTCGCCGGTCTGAACGTCCGCAGCGAACCTGAGAACAGAGCAATGAAGCTGGTCAAGCGGTAAACGCACGAGGACATTTAAGAGTTGTGTTACCCCAAACCGGACTTGTAAAGCTGGATCTATATTCCTTTGTCGCACGACCACACTATTCGATGGTTCCAGCATAGTCCTCGCAAATCAGACACTACATAACAGACATTGAGAATCCGTATGGCAGGCTCAGATGGCGGTGAAATTCAGCCAAATAATTAGTAATATACTATTCGCGTACTTGTGCATTGCCACTGCTGCTCAGATGAATATCAGGATGTGAGGGATCAGATTCCATGCTTAACTAGCCATACCTGCATTGGCATAACGCCATTGCAACAAATGATGAGCATCATACGCGCTTTTTTAGCATCCATTTACAGTGTCCACTTCTAGGAGCCGTCCTACGATGATAAGGAATATCGGCAATCTGATCCACTTGGCGTAGCTTATCATCCGAGGATCATGCGTTTGAGCCTCGCTTCACCAAATAACAACCCGGCGACCGGCACAACAAACCAGCAATTACTGCTCAGCAGAGGGGCGGCATTGTGCGCCGGCCGGCCGCCGGAGCTAGAACAAAAGACGGGCTATCGACCCGGCCGGCGGCGGCTGAGGTGCGCCGAGCCAGACCCGGCCGCCGCTCGCACCTGAGCCGGCTCAACTCCGTGCCTCACCGCCGTGCCTCAACGCTGTGCCTTAACTCCGTTCCTCACTCTTGTGTCTCACTGATGTGCCTCACCGCCGTGCCTCACTGCCGCGCCTCACAGCCCGGTTCCTCACTACCGTTCCTCACCGCTATGTCTCCCCGCCGTGCCTCAACGCTGTTCTTCAACGGCGTTCCTCACCGCTGTGTCTCACTGATGTGCCTCACCGCCGTGCCTAAATGTCGTGCCTCACTGCCGTGCCTTACCGCCGTCGCTCAGACCAGGGAGCCGCCTTTTCCCTCCCCTTTCCCCCACATCCATCCATGAAACTCCACCCACATCGTTCGCATCCTACGCAGAACCGGAGTGCTGCCGCCGCCTCCACAATCCCCACTCAGCCTGCAAATCCTCCGCTCCGCAGCCGCAGCTGCCACCAGCGTCGCCCACTATCCGTGTCATCCCACTCAGTCCCTCCCTGCCGCTCTACCCCACCGCCACTGCCGTCTCATCGCCCGCCTCCAACTCGATCTTCAGCGGCGCCCATCTGCCGCGCGGTAAGTCGGGTCCGGACGGGCCCGGCCCGCTCTCCCGCCGGCCAACGTCGCCCCCGAGGGCCGTTTTCCGGCGTTCGGCGGCGGCCGAGCCGACCGAGTTACGCGTGCCCATCTACAGGTGGTGGGCCGCGGGACTGAATGGCGGATGGAAGGTCACAGGGGTGCACTGGAGTCGCTCCCACGGTGCGGAGTCGGGAGTGGTACAGAGACGTGACTTCGTATGGAGGTGGCGGTCATGTGAAATTTTATGTCGAGAGCGTGATGCGGTTGAGGAGTTCCCGAGAAAAGAGGCTCAACCGGTTTACAAGTTTGTTGGCGATAAATGTGAGTGGGATTTGCAGTGCAGATATTTTACTGATAAGAGGTTAAATAGGAGTGCATTATTACTCTATGTGCATGTGCTAGGTACGTCATTATGTCGTCGGGCATTAGCGCAAAAAGGACTGATTAATGACGAAAAACAGCTTGATATGGGTGTCGGGGGAGTATGCATTTCGGTATGCTTGCCTATAACGATATCAAGAACAATAATTATAATACCTAGCCGCCGTTTTGATGGCCATTGGCCATGCTTCAGGCCCTGCAGAATTGAAGAACAGTGACGTCTCTCAGAAAGGTAGACTGCGCAGCAGCACTTGGCTGTCGTGCGGAACAGGCGACCAGCACCGCGCAAGTCGGACCATTCTCGCATGCTAACAGGCTGGCTGCCCTTTTCGCATGCTAACAAATCGTAAGCAGCTTAAATTGAAGAAGTTTTCCAAGGTCGTGAGCAGGCTGAGCCGATTTCAAGATATCCTACCATCCCGCTTTGACCAACAAAATGTCATATGGCGCAGCATGGACTGACGGCATTATTATGCAAATGAAGTGCCATGAATTGCGACAGCTTCTTAAAACCTGCAGCCTGAACATCTCGGTCATTGTCGTCCCAAAGCTCTTAAGTTCATTCCCTACCACTCACTCCAAGCTTCCCTTCACCTCGCCGTTTACAAACATCCATCAAACTCCACCCCACAGCCTCTGACATGCAGTTCCACTCACCGAGAGACGAGCTGGTCCTTCTGTCGGACGAGTATGACGTGCTGTGAGGACAGCGTGATCCGGTGGTCCGTGCTGGTAGACAGCTGCAGGTACTGGCCCGACTCGTTGGACCGTTTGTCCAGCCAGCTCACCACGGGGCTGAACGTGAGATCGCCGGCCCGACTCGCTGGAAGGACAGGTCACAGAGGTCAACGAGGGTTATAGGGGTCATAGAGTCACTGTCAGGTCAGGTCACATGGGTCACCGGGGGTTATAGGGGTCATCGAGTTGCTGAGGTCACTGGGTCCTATGATAATGAGGTCATAAAGGTTAGTCATTGAGTTGTATTGCGAATTGGTTAAATTTGGTCATCAATTCGATGAGACAGAAAGGCACACGTTGAAACAGACGGCTAGTAAAACGTTTTATAACCATACTCACAATGGTTAAAAATGTTCTCAAGAGACAAAGGTTATCAATCTTTATGTCTTACAAGTTGTCGCTGGAAGTTCAAATGCTAATTCATAGACCTCTGTAGTCTGTCGACTACAGAATGATGTTCCACTTTTCACTGACAATTACTTGCCTGGAGTGGTAGGCTGTGCCGTATCACACGGGCTGAGTTCACAAATTATAGCTTTGTCCCAATGCTCACAATCGACACGCTTAATTACGTGATAAACGGCACAACTTAGCGCTCCGGTCAACTGATAGCTTCTAAGAAGTGGAACATCATTCTGTAGTCGACTATACACCAGATATCTGTGGCTGTAGCAATTTTCCTAATGTGTTAATAGAACCAGTGGACACTATTTGTTGGAAGTTCGGGTCAGATTCTTACATCCAGCACTATTAACGATCAAGCGCGCCCCACCGCGTGACCGCCGACTATTCCTTAGCGTGGACACTGGTTGGCCAATCTGCTGAAAGGCTGTGTTGGACATAATGTCCGGGCGCGGCGCGGCGAGTTGCGGCGATCCACCCACCTGCAAGGACTCGGTCCCCCACTCGCAGCTCAGCCATCGGGAGCACGTCGCCGGATTCCTTCAGTACCGTCGAGTCGCCTGCGGAAAAACAAACCGGGCATTCACCGACCGTTCAAACAATAAACTTGTCATAAAGGACGCAGCAGTGAGAACAAACAGCGTGTAATGAATTTCTGAGGAAGGCGGATGTATTATGTACCTTTTCCGAGAAACGCAAACAATTAGGCTTGTGTTTCATGCTTCTGGGATTTACCTGTTTCGTCTTTATGTTTTTTCTTATATTAATTGTTGACAGTAACAGTTAAGTGCGTGACATCCTTGAAAGTACGCATGCATTGGCATCTACTTCGACAACCTAGTGTATACGCACATTACAAGCAACATTTTCGAATGAGCTAACTAGCCTAGCAATTACCAAATCATGAATAAAGCTTAGTCAAAACAGCACAGAACAATGGCGCAACATTTGGGCGGAACTCCAATAGCCGGTGTGGCTGTCACCTGACCTTTTCCAGGAGGAACTAACAAGCAGAGCTGACGACGCAGGGCATTAACCTGCATGCGTGCATTCGTGATTGCGTCTGCGACTCATGTACATACACAGGTTTATCGTTGGACAGCGTTGACGAGCCAGATTGAATTTCCAGGGATCGGATCGATCGTATCGAGATCAGTTGGCCTAGTATATACACACAACTTAACCCTCGCCCGTATAAGGGGGGGGGGGGTCGAACGGACCCCCCCCCTCGGTTTTTCGCGAATAACTCGCGTAAAAAGCGGCCGAGCGCGACGAAACTTTCAGAACCCTCGCATTAATCAATTTTACACCTACCCTGAAATTTTCATGACCCTGACCCTAATGACCTTTGACCTGTGACCTACTTTTCAAGACCATGTTTGGCCGGAATCGCGATTCGGCGTATGTCGGCTCGCATTAGCCGTGCGTTTGCAGTCTTTTCGTGGTTTTAAGCGTTCAAACATGGGATATGATGTTGCTCCCATGCATTAGGGCGGGTGTCAAGGTCACCGAAAGGTCAGGTCAGTTCAATGACCTTTGATGACCTCGGTTCACTTTTTCGATTTTTACATGTTTCTAGGCCAGTTTTTGGAGCTGAATTCGAATTTAGCAACCATATGAACATTTACTAAGTAGTTTTGGCACCTTCGTAACATGTTACGAAGCTGTCAGATGCGGTTGCCACCTACTACGAATACCCTTACTGGTTGACCTGACCTGACCTGACCCGACCTGGCCTAAATGCATGAAGACATCATCTGTGATCAAAACTAACATGATATTCGTGATCAGTACCCCGAAAAACCTTATAGCAGTCACGCTTTACGACTTTCTAACAGGTCCCGATTTGCCAGACTTTTGGGTCATTGACCTGACCTGGAAGGTCAACCAATGACCTAGGACCTTAAAATTGGGTATCATCGGCTTCCTCTCGTCACGGGCAACACGCTCGTTTTTTCCGCGAAGCTCTAGCTCGATCAGGGGCGAAACGGCAAGGGGGGTCCAACGGACCCCCCCCCTTATACGTTCGCGGCTGGAAAAACACCAATACGGGCGAGGGTTAAAGGCCCGACGATAAGTTTTGGTAAAAGAGAATTGCAGCCGTTTGTACTGTGTGTGAAATGGAGAGAAGAAAAAACGAATAGGGTCTATTGCAGAATGAAAACAAGCAAGGTTTTCCTTAGCAGGCGAAAGCGAAATGCAATAGGGGCTGTTGATAACCTGAATCAATTGAAAGTCTGCAGTCACTCATTTTCTATTGGACTTAATATTCGAAACACTCACTCACTCAAACAAAGTGAGTAAGCCAATACTTGAGCATGGTATAAGTATAGGAAAGCTTAAAGGGAATACAGCCGACACACTTGAAAAAGTTTTCAAGTTAAACGTCTTCAATCTCCAGCTGAAGCGAACAATACCAGCGTTGCGAATTGCTGCGGCAACATTGGTTTGGCTCTAGCATGTGTGGCAGCAAATCGCAAGACTTGCACCTCAATAGAGGAAAGTCTTATTGCCTCAGGCCACTTACAGCATCCAGAGCAGTGATGGTTTTTCTCTCAGTGGTCGTATCTTCCATTTCAGCTGCGAGGTAAAACGGCTGTCTACGTTACCAAGCAGAATTGAACTCTACGCCGGCCGAAAAACAAAGCAGAGTACAAAACAAACAGAACTATAAGCCCAGTGCAGGGAGCACTAGTTCCCGATTACAACAGATGCTGTCGAATTAAGGTCTCCTGCGTCGAACATACACCCGAAACAGAGGTGGGGTAACGAACATAAATTCTGCTGTCCGCCTTAGACCAGCTGAAATGCCACCATACTTCATATCTAAAAATACGACAAATCCCGATGGCATCAAAATGCAAAGACACAAGTCTAGAGAGTACAAAGGAATGCAAAGTCTCACAGAACACACCAAAGTTCTGAAAAGCATTTTTGCTCAAACAACCTTCTAAAGATCAGGGCATTTGAAAACTACACAATAATATTTGTTCCTGGAAGTTTTTGTTCCTGATCGGTGTTTGTCATGACTAGCGACCCTAGTTAACCCGGCAGGCGGTGGGCCTACCAGCCACCTTCCGCGCGGTGGGGGGGGGGCACTTTTTTGCCCCCCCCCCCCGTATCTCCGAAACTACTGGACGGATCCGGAAAATTCAAACGGCGTTCGATAGCCCTGTCAAATTTGTTGAAGGAAACCAAATTTCATTGACCTCGGGGTCACCGATGACGTCACAGGTCAGGTCAAAGATAAAATGTTTCACCGTTCACGGGGCTTCTAGGGAAAGCGCTATAACACCGAGTAAAACGCATTTTGTCGAAAATCAGCGATAAGGCGTCAGTTGTCTAGTACATATGTTGCTATTAGAGGTCACTGGTCATACCAGGTCAGGTCACAGGTCAGGTCACCAAAGGTCACCAAGGGTCACCACATGAGCCCAACTTTACTAAGGTTATGCGATGCATGTTTTATGGCCAGTTTTTCATTTCCAACTCAATGGTGTTGGTTATAAGACCATCAGGTACGGTTTAGGTCACTTTCTGGTGGAGGTCAGGTCAAGGTCAGGTCAAAAAAGGTCAAATTTCAAAGTTGATATTTTTGCATAAAATGGGTATCGATTCGATGCAGCTCGTCACGGGGAGTCTAATGGTGGTCTTTGTTTTGCGCTACGAGGTCTAGAATTGCTAAAAATTGAGTTTGAAAATTTGACGTCATCAATTTTGAACAGTTTTTTCGCTATAACTTGGCCAAAAAAAGAGGTATCGATCTCAAATTTGGTATGTAGATAGAAGGCGGTATGGGCTATCACATATATTCCGGTTTTTTCGAAATTCAGAAAACTTTTTGGATTTTTAGGCTATTATATTCAAAAAATCTATTTTTTGATTTTTGGGGGTCAAAATCCAAAAAATTCGAAAAACTGAAATAGCAGTATTGTAGCCCTCTTAATTCCACACCTTTTATGTCCGAAACATTTTTCTGTATCTCTAAAGCTGTAGGCCTGACAGCTCTTCCCGCGAAACCTTTTTTGGGTCGAAAATGGCAAAAATGACGTCACTCTGACGTCATTAGCGGCCAACCTATCATAGCCTTTGGAAAAAATTTTTGGTCACCATGTGCGCTAGCTGCTCCCGGGAGGGTACTGAAAGTTTGGTGACGATCGGCGCAGCGGTTCTCGAGATATATCGAAAAAACTAAAGGGGGGGGGCAAAAAAATGCCCCCCCCCCACCGCCTGGAAGGTTAATATTTCAGTTGATAAGATCGTAGAACTCCCGGAGGTAGAGCGCCGGTCCTAGAGTTCAATACACGGATGCATAGGCTCGTCTGGGGCTGGTGGGCGCAGCGACAGCCTGGTGGAACTGGGAGTGGGAAGGATTGTATCCGGCTACGTAGGCACCCTGAATCCATTCTGTTGCTGGTAACTCCTCTCCACTCCGCAAATTTCACAACAGGACGGCAGAGGTCAGATTGCACAACAGGCTCTGCTTTGATTCATGGTAGCGGGGTGCATTCTCTGTTAATCTGTACGTCCTAGATAAAATTTACTATTCAAGTTGAACAGATGCACTCAATACAAGGACCTGTTTTCATTGTTACATTTTGCTATTTTAAAGCAAAACTTTTCAAATTTCGAACAGCTTTTTGCAGAAGTATTCAAACTTTTATGCTATAAAAACATCAATGTATTCAATCTATAACTCTGCTCACATACATAAGGGGCTAGCTAAGGCATGCTGCAAATGATTTGAGTATCCGTCACTGCGCCGACGAGTCGTGCAGTGTTTTGGTGAGGGGAGTGGAACGTGACACCGTCATATGAGCACGGTCGGACAGCATTGACGATTGCAATGGAAGTGGCACGCAACGAGCAGCACGGCTATTGAGCGGAGCTGCACAATCAACAACATGCGGACTACGACGGGAGGGTGATGGGACCAGGACCCTGAGACAGGGAGGGAGAGGGGCGGGAGGAGGACCAGGGCGGGGGAGGGGTGGGGCGGGAATGGGACCGAGAGATAGGGAGCAGGATGGGTGGGGACAGGAAATTAGGAATAGGGTACAGGGAGAGACGGAGACAGAAAACACAACAAGGAGACAGGGAGGAGGAGGGGTGATGGAGACGGGAAAATAAGACCGGTTCACGGCGGAGCCAGAGCGGGTTAGAATAAAGCCGACAGCGATGCGCTGACGTCACGTGTCCCGCGGTAGCGTACAGCTGCCACCGTGGGTGTTGGCCGACGCCCGTGACCTGCTCTCATTACGGACTAATGTGCTGACCGCGGCCGGACGGTCCGTCGACGAGCCGCGCGCGCCCGTCAGCCCGGCGGCCACGGCCGGCACGGCACGGCCACGTCAGGCACGGCCACGTCAGGCACGGCAGCCCCGGCCCGCGACCTACAGTGGCCTGACGCTGGCCGAAAGCCAGCCGTGTAAATGGTGCAATGAAACGAATAATTTTCCTTTAATTCTTACGTAGTGGTAAGAGGCATCCTAAAGTGTTTTTTTCCTAAGAAACCATGACATTTTTATATAAAAATGAGAATAAATTAAATCATGACGAG